CGTGCTGACATTGCAGAGTCTCAGGTCAACAAGCTGAGGGCAAAGAGCCGTGATTCTGGAAAGGTAAATATGTAGCAGTTTAGTCAGCATGTGAGTTTGTTGAATTACTAACAATACAGTTGTCATTAAAGTTTCAAAACTCTTCTAGGGTTTTCACAGATTTAATTAATATTTAATACAATGTCAAATTCAGAAATTACTTTTCCATTTCTTTTCTTTTCAGGGAAAGGATTCTGCTGAGTAAAGCAGATTGTGTTTTACCATGGTGAATCATATAATATGTACATCATTCTGAAACAATAAAGTTATTGCTGCTGTTACACTTCTGTCTGTGTTACTTTTTTTCTTTTTTATTGATCAACCCTAACCCTAATGAAACAGCTGTAATAAACCTCCTTAAACTGAAATACATTTATCAAAAATGTTCTACGGGACATCCAGAAATCACATATCTTTTTTTTTTTTCCCCCCCCCCCTTTTTGTGTTTGGCATTATGGCAACAGAATTGTAATCTGAGTGCCGTGCTGTGCCGGACACTTTTGCTTTGCCAAAGGAGGCCTGTCAGGGTGAGAACCCTCCCTTGATCATCCAATACTGCTTTATTATTTATTTAGGATTTATTTTTGTTACATAAGTAATATGGCTAATGCCAAACATGACCGGGGGACAGGAAAGGGGAAAAAAGAAAGAGAGTCCTAAAACAGGAAGAGAGGAGAGAAAAAAGGAAAGAGAGACAACAAAACCATCCATCCAGCTGCTGTATCTGTAGAAAGATGTCGTGTAGTCACCGTGGGCAAACTCTAGCAACTCGAACTGTATACAAACACTACGGGGAGACACACAAACAGGCAGCAAAAACTCACATATCTTTGACATTTTGTGGTAGTACCTCATTTTACTTTTTTATTTCAAAGTGATAAATGGAGTAATTTGGGTCAGTTTTCTATTCCCTATAAATATGGGTCTGGGCTCAGAGGATAATGGGTTCATTCCACTACTGCATAAGAAATACAAAAGTAATAAAGATATGTAAACATGTTATAGATATTGAATGAACAATAACAATACATAAAGTATGTGTACATTGCATATGTGATAACGTATTTGTGAGTATATTCAAGCCCAAGTTCTTATGTTATCTGATTAATCAGTAGAAGTAAAAGTTTGCGTTTGATGACTATAAAACAACACTGATATGACTAAATCATCTTAAAACCAGTGTGAGTTGTTCTAAGTTTATTTCTGGGGTGAAGAATTGTTAGCAATATTGTTACAGCTGTTTTCTTTATGATTGTATATTCATATATTTTTAATGATAATTGCAAGTTTCTGAAGGGTAAGAATGGACTCACTTCCTTGAATGCACACCATGCTTGTGGCAAATTATTAATCCATCTTATCTTTATTGAGTGACACTTTAATGTTGACATTTTAAGTGTGTTTGTAATGCACTATCCCCTGTGACATTTAAGACATTGCACTGCTCAAGAAGCAGAATGAGACTCACATTCAAACAGCGCCAATGTCCGTGGGCCAAAAATGGCCTTGCAGCAATGTCTGCAGTGTCAGTTACTTGGTTAATCATTTAACAAATGCCAAAGCCATATTAGGAACACCTTATCATTAACACTGCTTTCTGTATATGTAAATATATATATATATATATCTCTTTTAAAATTACGACACGTTTATAATTTTATTTATCTTTACTGTACTTTATCGTAATTATATTCAGCAAAACTAATTAATTATAATCAGCTATTTACTTTTTTAAATATCATCTTCAAGAAGTACTTTTTAAAATTAAAATAAAGAAAACTGTAGGGACCGACACATTTATACATATTTCTGATGCCCTTGCTGTATACATATACATTAATTAAAAAACTACTGGTCAAAAGGCCCAAGAAAATGTTAAGAAGCAACTACCACACATTTTGGCACTGCATTTGCTATTGGAAAGATTAAACATGAGCTGTATGTACTAGCATCACACACTATGTCATGTTACCATCACCTGTCATCGTAACTATATTTGGAACGTGGTGTGCATTTAACTTCTGCATTGTAAGCAGCCACATTCAATGCAAGCCACATTCTGGGAATGCAGTGGAAGAAGAGACACTTGTGTTAATCTACTTTAATTAAGTGGATCAAAACAACCTAAATAAAATGTCACTGTTGCATTATGTGATACACATAACAGCAGAGTACATTAGCTCTTTAAAACCTGATACATTTTTTCCTGTTTGATGTTTTAATTTGCCCCTTTAAAAAGTTTTTTTTTTTTTAACTGAAACAAATTTGAAATATTCATCATGAATTATTGTGCGATAACTCAAAATTATTGTGTGGTGTTCTGCCCGCTGTTATCAGGTTTATCCAATTGTGTACAACAGGTTTTTGCTTTCCACATGCAAAACATTCACAAATCGTATGTATCAAATATTATACATATGGCATTATAGGGTTAAATAACAATCATGTTTCCTTTTTTTCTCCATTGAAATAGCCTGCATTCACCACATGTCCATAATTGTCCAGACAGTGCGTGTTTAATGTTAAATACACATTTCTGACTATTGATGTTATTTTTACATCACAGCTTTCAAAGAATGAAAACATGCTAAATGCAAGTCTACTTCCTGTGAATAAGAACCCAGCAACATTTACAAGGGATAATATTTCTATAAACATGCAGAAGTAATCTCTGCTAAGATATCAGTGAGTCAACAGGTGGAAGAAATTAAGGATCAGAGGGATACTCTGAAATAGACAAACATGCTGTAAAGTATTTGAACAGCTGGCAATACAACAGATATGATGGACTTTTGAACTGACACCATCTGGCAATCATTAAAGTTCTCAACCCTTGTCAAGAATGTGACAATGTGAGTGTCTAAATAATCCTAGAAAGGAGAACCAATGCCATCTCAATGCAAAGAGACTTGAGGGACATAGTTGACAAGTGCAACCATAAAAGAGTGACATAATTACGGTGATGTTTGACATGAAATATGACTGAGCACAAGTAGGAAGCAAGACACTGTAGCAACCAATCCGCAATACTGCAAGCACAAGTCTGAGGAGTGCAGAGATGTTGTCCATATATTCTGAAAAATGTTTTTAAATTCAATTCCTGTTATTATTTTTGATAAATTAAGCTGATTTTAAACATGAAAAAAAATTTTTTTTTCTTTTTAACCAGGAGCAATGACTTGTAATTCATTGCAAACTAAAAAAAAAAAACCATCTTATCAAAGGAGACATTCAAATATATTTTTTACTTCAAATTCTAATCATTCTGTCACTTAATTTGGTGATGTAATAAATCAAATTAATTAACAAAAACTGGAAGAAAAAAACACTTTTAAGTTTTAATGCTCGCTACAACATCAAATACATGTTTCGTAAATCAAATGTCACATTTGCAGTCCTAAAGTTCTCAATAAATCCGAAGTGACAGTCACTTCAGCTGCAGTTTAGGGAAATCACTGACCCTCATTAACACATAGTAAAAAAACTGACCTTACAGCATTAACATTTGTCACTCTGGTGATTAGGGCATAAATATTTCAGAGAATCCAGCAAAACACCATATTACAATCAGATATAGCCATTGATGCAGCCATTATGAAATGTAACACTTTTACATTTGTTTAGCCAAATGGAAGCTTAGAATTATTAAAACTAATTTAATTTAAAAAACAATTTATGCATTAAAAAGATAATAATTTAATCAGTTATATGAGCATTAATAATGGTCCAAATTTAAACATCTGAGCACCACACTCATTGTTTCACATTCTTATTTTCTTCATTCAGTGGTTTCATAGAGTAGTACGCACTATCATTATTCAAAGAGGAAGTCTTAAAGAACACTTTAAGCCTTGATGATTATTTGTGACCTTATTTTAGTCTTTAGAGTAGAGCCAAAATAGTTTGAGTCAATGTATTTTAATCAACTACCAGGTAACATTTAAGAGGAAAGTTTATGTGTTATTTTCATTATCCTAAAAAGTAGAAATTTGAGTTAATTTATCTTCATGTGTTATCTACTAAGTTATCAACCGATGACAACATTAGACGTTCAATTTTGCTAGAATTTGTCATTGCTTGTTGATTAATACTAGAAAAGCTGCATGGAAGTAACATTTTTTTCATATATTATTCTCTCATGCTTAAATTTAAGTCAATAATCATGATTACCCATTAAATATTCAGCTTTACAAATAATCCTTCATTATATCATTTTATGGAGAAAAGATTATACAGAGATGAGTTATTGCTTGTATGGAGACAAAACATAGCCTTAAACTCTAACTGTAAAAATAGTTGAGGTTGTGATGACAGTCGGTGGTATGTGGTGAAATGCGAGAAGGCACACTTTCTGAGCTGTCATCTGAATTGATTAAGATGGGAGCATGCTCATACCTTTAGCTTTGTGAAATTAATTCATTTAAATATAAAGGAATCACTGATGCAAAATCATTCAGGCTGAAGGCATCCACTAGGATTTGGATTGACAAAATTCAGAAATTCATTCATTCCCCCAAAATAAATGCAAACCTCTTCCACTTTGTAGACTTTTCTGATGGATATGTTCATCAAGACATAAAAGAAACATTATTTTTAGGATAGGTTTTGCCTTTGTTAAAACTTTAAAACGGAAAAAAAATAACAGACACTTCTGACTGAAATCTAATACGTTAGATGCGTACACTTCTACAGCATGTTTCATAGGATGTGTGGATTGACTGTTATCCACACCACATTTGGCAAGAGTCCCATATTTAACTGTTGCTGAGTAGGCGTGCTGGATTCAATATAAGCCCTCCAAGTCATCACAACAGTGTGTGGTGGAACCTTCAAGACAGGCTCCAGCTTGTGGTAAGTTTAACCTAACTGCTGTTGTTATTTTCTACCGTTCCTGTTTTTTATTTTTATTTTGGAAAAATAATGAAAATGAATTCTTTTAAACTCCCCAATAAATTAAATGACTTATATTTTGTTTATCTTTATGTTTATGTTTATTACAGGATTGCTAAAATATCATACTGATAAGGAAGCAGGGTAAGATCTAAAAATACTTTCAAACATACTTAATTACTTTATATTATGTGTAAAATCTATGTTTATTTTATTTTAACCTAATTTGAGAACTGTTATATTATTCCTGATGGTAATAGAAATAATTTTGTAAAAATTATATTGCAAGTAAATATTAATTACATATGTCTAATCAATCCGTCTAGAGTGTTCACTGACGGAGAAAGTGTGCTTAGTTCTCCAGTAATGGAAAAAAATCAAGTTCAACTTTGTTCTTGCAGACATAAGCTGCCACCATGAGTACGGACGCGGAGATGGCCATTTATGGCAAGGCTGCCATTTACCTTCGCAAGCCTGAGAAGGAGAGAATTGAGGCTCAAAACAAGCCATTTGATGCCAAAAGCGCTTGCTATGTGGCTGATGCAAAAGAGCTGTACCTGAAGGCTACCATCCTTAAGAAAGATGCGGGCAAAGTCACTGTCAAAGTCGTGGGCACAGAGGAGGTGTGTACACTACAGTCAAAGTCATCCAACAAACGATTGTGATCACTTCTCACCGTTAAAAATGTCCTCTTGCAGGAGAGGGTCGTTAAAGAGGATGATGTCTGTCCAATGAACCCTCCCAAGTATGACAAAATTGAGGACATGGCCATGATGACCCATCTCAATGAAGCCTC